TTATATTCTTAGGTATATTTATTCTAATGTTGCATTCAGTAGAATTAGTCATTATATATACTGATACTATTTGTTATCTATAGGTCAGGGGTCATGACAGTTAAATTTTACTGATCTAGAAAATAAACATTCACTAATTATTTTCATATTTCTTTCACTAAGATATATTTTCAAATTCTCCTATTTAAATCATTTTATGATATTATTAAATAAAAAGAAAAAAGATGTTATATTTTCCTTCAATCATTTTAATACTTCACTATATAATTTATTTATCATTTATTATTTTAATAGCATTTTTAAATTTATTCTTTTCTTGTATTTCTTATTAAGATGACTGTAAATGTTATAATAAACTAAAAATGTTAGCTTGAAATTTACACTAATTAAACTTCATTTATTTTATTTTCGTTTTTTTGTTTTCGAATATGTTCATTATATTTGTAGTGCATTTTCTCTCTAGTTAAAAAATTAATAATTTCATTTGTATAATTTGATAAATCTAATTTTATTCTTCGTATTATAAATGTCATTTTTAATTGATGAAAACAAAAATAAAAGCAAAACTTTTCGTAACTATCATTTCCATTTCTTGTTTTTCAAATAGTTGTATATTTTAACAGTTAAAATGGATATTATGTATGAGATACAAACAAATTAAATGCTTATAGAAAGAATATTGTTCTTAAATATGATGAAATGTTTTAAATTCAATTTATGATTTATCATCTCTTCAGCATATTTAAAAAACGATAAAAATTTTATACACGCTTTCTGCTCTTTTTTTTTAATATTTAAAAAATTATTACCGTAAGTTTCTTTGAAATTTTATATATTATAGGATGAATTATCATCTTAGTTTGATTCTCTAAAGAATTTTGAAAGGAAAAATATTGTTTGATTAATATTTTATTATCATTTCGATAATAATATTATTTGTTATCAATCTTTCTCTGGTTTTTTTTTTCAGATTTCTTATTTGTATTTTTTTTTTTTCACAAATCATTGATTCATCATTATTATTAGCAATTCATTGGTATTTCTGTAAAATATTTGATAGAATTATCTTCTTTTTCTTTCTTTTTTTTGTTGTTGTTTAAGTATTTCAGTTGCAAAATTAATTTTTTCTAATTTAATTTTTAATCAATGAATGATATTGAAAGAACAAAAAGAAGTATTTACTGTCTTTTAAAAAAAAGAATATTTATTTTAGTTTACTTTATTGATTTTATATGAAGACAAAAGTTTTTAATTCTCTGCTTTTTTTTTGTAAAAAAGTAATCAGAAAACTAAATGATATAATCTCTTTTCTCTTTCTTTCTTTTTTAAGGATTGAAATAAAGATTGTTTAACTAACATTTTGTCACCTATTTCTTCTATTTCTTCTTATTTACCTCACTCTCACAAATGTCATCATTACTTCTAAATTTTAACATTGATCAGCTTAATTGATTAGTTTTCTCATTTCTCTCTTTTTTTTATTTTCAAATTTATGCTACTTTTATTTTCAGCTAAAATTTGAAATGATTGAATTATTTTCTAGCACTTTACTTAATCAATTTTACTTAAAAAAATTATGTTCACTAATGAAATGGCAATTTTAAAAGTTCGATGTATAAATTTTTCTTTCATTTCAATTTAAAAAATTTAATAAATATCATGCAATTTTTTAATTTTTAAGGTTAGTAAATTAATTCTCAATGATGTACAATGTGAATAGTTATTTGTTCATCTATGATATAATAAGTCACTAAAATTCTTTTTCGAATTAATTAGCTAACTAACATCTAATTTAAATTTATTATCTTTGAACAGATTAGCAGAATTGGTAGTTAACTTTTGATAATTAATTTGAAAAGAAGCAAGATAAATGATATTTTCTTTTCCTTATTTAATCGTATAATTCATATATTACTTTAAAATGGATCATATCATTTGATTAATATTATTAACAAAAATTGCATTTCTAATTCTGAACTAATCAGGAACTCTATAAATGATTCCATTTTTTCTGACCTCTAAACTTATTGAATTATTAAAACTATATTTTGTTAAATTTATTCTGTGGATTAAACTCCTACTAATATAGATGGTTTAATTTGTAAATAATGCAATCAATTAAACAGAATGATTTATAATCGTTTCGTTTACTTTGATTAATATACAATAATCAAATGAGCAACTACTGCAATAGAATAATGAATAAACAAATAAATAAATAATAAAGTAAATAAATAAATATGTGAGGCAATAAAATAAATAATTGATATGATCTAACAAAGGTGATCTACAATTTTTTATCTCTCTTTTTTTCTTTTAAGGCCACCTGCGATACCTGAGAAATGTCATCACAGTCTTTCATAATGAAAAAATATATGCCGCTTTTTTATTAGCATTTAGTCTCATTTCTAATCGTTTAGTCAAATTTCATTTAAAAGTTTTAACAAATTTCTGATTGAAATATTTATATGAAATCATATTGTCGCATTTTATTATTAAAAAAAAAAAAAAAAAAAAAAAAAAAAAAACTTCTTTTTTTTATCTTTTTACAATGACAGACAGACATTAAAAATAAAAAAGATTTTACAAATTTTTTTTTAAATGTCTGTTTGTCACTGAAAAGAAAAAAAACGACGCAAGTGGAAATAATTTATAGATTATCAAAATTATTTAAATATAAAATACGCTAAATTTATAATCTGAAAAATTTGTATATTATTGTATAGGGCGAAATGTTCTTATGATCTAATAGTGAAAGTGGGAGAAAGAGAAGGAGAAAGTGAAGGGAAAGAGAGAAGGGAAAGGGAGAGGAAAAAGATATTTGATGGTTTTTAATGTTGAAAATGTAAACAAAATTGAAGCTATAATTCATAGCTTTCCATTCATTGTTTATAATTATTTTTCATACTTTCAATAAATTTATGATACTTGCAGAAATTTTAGTTTTATATTTACATCTCTTTTTGTTAATTTTATTTTTATTAGCATTAGTTAACAAACTCCACAATCTCTCTTCCATCTTTGAATGTTATCACTTGTCATTATCGACAAAAATGATTCACACTAATTATTATCACCGTTATTATTATTATTATTATCATTATTTTATTATTATTCATATTTATGAAACTTCGATAATTTTAAAATTTTGTCGAATTTTTTCACAAAACAAAAACAAAATATTTTAAAGTTTTTTTTTTTTCGTTTTCTTATTATTTCAGAGAATTTTAATATTTGCCGATTTCCATTATGAAATAATGTGGGTGTAGTACAAATCATTTTTGTTTGTCATACTGAATGAACAGATTTAAGAGTTTTCAACGTCACTGTTGAATTTATATGTGAAACAATTTTTAACAATTCAGTGATATTTGTAATCTTTGTTTCATTGTTGTGCAATATATAATATGAGATGTAAAAAATCTAATTTAAAATCTAAATTTATTAACTCAATCCGATCTACAATCCATTAGTCAATCAATCAGTCAATCGACATATAAATTACACTTTAAATTACACTTTTTTCCTCCAGTTTCACTTAATGCATTTAATTTTACCACTCTTTTTTTGAAATGCTATTTCATTTTCGTTGCTTTGTTTTATCTAGTTTTTTTTTCTATTTATAGATGTTATAAGCAATCATTATTAATTAAATTAATTAGTTAATTGGTATAGAATGTAAAAGGACAATGAAACAAAATGACAGTTTATTTTTTCCTTTTTCACATTTTGCATTTTTTTAATAAAATCTTTCATTATCATTTGCTTCAAATGGATTAATTATTAATTTGATTTCTAGACAACACCTTTCTTTTTTAATTGCAAAATGCATTAGTAACAATATACAATTAATTGCAATAACAATATATTAACATCAAATTGCAAAAGAAAAAAAATGATAAATTCATTTATTCCATATAATTACTGTAAAATTTGCTTTTTTGTTTTTTTAATCATGTAATATAAAATGTCGTATATCTTCTTTTTCATTTGTCCTTATTAATTTTAGATTTCTTTATTTTTTCATTTTTTTTTTATTTTTCAAAAAAATATAAGAAATATTAAAATGCGTCATTTTATGTAAATGATTAAGAAGCAACGAATAATGACAAAACATACATACCTGAAAGAGGTATATATGTGATTTTTGTGACATACAGTGGAAAAAAAAAGAAGAAACAGTCAGTGAGTCAGTAAAATTTATAAAAGAGAATATAAAAGTTTGTTTTGAAAATGTTTAACAAATTTTTTGATCTTTGATAAATGGGTAAGCGTTATTTGTTCAACTAAATAAATATTTAAGAGAAAAAAATAATAATCTTTTTCCTTTTCTTAAAATAAGATTTTTGCAAAAAGAAAAAACTTTAAATAGTTTAAAATAATTTGAATAATTTAAATTTTTTTGCAAAAAAAAGAACAAAAAAACATGCACTTAGTAATACATTTAATATTTCATAAAAATGAACACATTGAAATTTTAATTCTGATATGATTAGCAACGATAAGATGACACCGTTAGATGTTTGCTTTTTTAATACATATATATCTGTCTGCATGTTTGTAAACTATCAATGTACTGTCAACTGAAATTGCTTTAGATCTTTTTCATCATATTATTTTTTATTCTTCACAATGTATTTTTTGTATATATTGTATAATTAAATTCCAAGACTTTTCTAACAATTTAACTAATATTAGGCCCATTCAATAATTTGCATAATTTGATTTAAACCTATTCAATAATTTGTATAACTTGAACTAATCAATAATTTGATTTGTTCTAATATTTCATCTTAACTAATTTACGGTTTAACTCGTAAAATTAGTTATATAATTTAGAGTACCTCAATCAACGTATCTAAAACTATTTTGTGGATTATTATTCCCAATTATATTTCACAGAAAGAAAATAGGAAAAAAGCAAAAGCAAAAGTAAAAACAAAAAAAGAAACAAGAACAAAAATTAAAAAAAAAAAAAGAAAGAAAACGAATTCTTATTAATGGCAACAAATAATTCAAATGGATGTTCGACTATAGCATCATCCGAAACATCTGTATTTTATCCAATTCATCAAAATGACTGTCATCAAACTATCTGTGATACTACACAAATTATTACTTCTTCTACTACTACTACCACAACAGCTACAACAACTTATTCACGAAATAAAATTTCTATTCTACAACCAACAACATTATTAATTCATAAAAATGATGGAAATGGTATGTTACCATTAATTGATATAAAAAAAAATGGTAATAATATGATTGTTAATGATAAATCACAACAGTCAAGAAAATCATTGATTGAAGTGTCGTATAATGTAAAGAAAACGGATGTAAGATGTGATTTTTGTAATGGAACACGTTATATTATACTTATAATGGCAGTTCTAAGTTTAACAGCTACACGTGCTAATGAAATGACATTTAATTTAGCAGTTATTTGCATGACATCAAATGCTACTGTTGAAGGGGTTAGTTTATTTTTTATTTTTTAATTTTATAGTTTATATATTTTTTTCTTTTCTTATAAATGTGTATTAAATTTAGTTAGTTATATTTATTAATCTTTTTTTATTCTTATAAATAATAAGTTTATTTAGTTACATTTATTTATTCTTTCTCTTTTCTTATAAATATACAACAAATTTATTTAGTTATCTGGATGAAATCTTATGATTAATTTTAATATTATAATTTTTATTAAAAAAAAGAAAAATTCAAAAAAATTTAAAATTTATTCAAAATAATTTTTCTAATTTTTTCTTTTTTAATATTATTAATAATTTCAAAAAACAAAAAGAAAAAAACAACAAAAAAAAAAATTTTTTTTCATTTTAGGTTGAACCAGTAAAAATATCACCTCGAGAAACGAGTACAATATTTGCCGGTGGTGGCTTAGGTGCTATAATATTTGTTTTACCAATCGCATATGCACTTCATCGTTTCGGTTCACAAATTGTTTTTAGTATTCTTTTACTTTTTTCATCATTTGGCACTGCATTAATGCCGTTTGCTGCACGTCAAGGTGTTACCTGGATGGTATGTATACGTATCACACAAGGTATAATTTTCATTTTATAATTAATATATTTGCTGGTAGCGGTATAGGTGATATAATATTTGTTTTATCAAATTGCATATATCTTTTTACATTATTATTAAATTTAATTAATATTATTGTGGAATATTAATCATATGAATTGTTATTTAATTAAATGTATTAATTGTTATTTTATATTATATCGCTATCAATTAAATGAAAAATATCATTTAACAAATTCAATATGATATTCAGTAGGTTATATTGATAATATATGTAACGACACATAATAATAACAAATAAATTTGTTTATGTACATTAATTTATGCGTGAAATTATAAATTAGTCAGAATCAATTGATATGTTTATATTTTAACATTCCATATCAATTATTTTAAAAAGGCAAAACGGCAGATACTTATGAAATTTATTCTAATAATAATAAAAATAGATTTATTATGAATATTAATCAACACTGATGTTATTTTAATAATATTAACATAAATTTTGTTTGTAAGTTTTAATAGTTTTTAATAAGTTTTTTTTGTTTATAATATTTTTAATAGTTTTAATAATATTTTATAAGTCCTAATAGTTTTTTTTAAAAAATTTGCAGGTATAGCGTTAGCTTCAGCTATGCCTTTAATGGGTTGTGTTAGCGCAAGTTGGGCTCCTATCGCAGAGATTGGTAGACTTTAATTTTATCCTTTTTTTTTTTTTTTTGATACTTTTTTTTTTTTCAATCTATTATAACGCTTACATTTATATTACATTCTTTTATTTCTTAAAAATCTCAGTCAAAAATTTATATAAAAAAAAAAAAAAGAAATTTGAATGATAAGAAAAAAAAAATTGAACCATAAGAATAAATTGTGAAATGTAATCTAATGTTTATAAAAAAACCAATTTTGTTATGTTAAAATTTCGGTCTAATAAATTTATTTAAAGTTTGTAATTTCAGATCTATTTGATATATTAAAGGGTTAAAATTTCAGGTCATTTTTTAACTTTACTCTCATTAGGTGGTCAATTATCACAAATTATCACAATGCCATTAGCAGCACATTTATGTGTTACATTCGGATGGCCATCAGCTTTCTATTCAGCTGCAATTATATCTGCCACCTTAGCATTCACATTTTTCATTTTTTATCGAAATGATCCTATGAAACATCCATGTGTCTCTGCTACTGAAGCACTTCTTATCACTGAAGGAGGTTAATTTTTTTTTTTTTTGATAAAATTTCAATTTTTATTGAATGTGTTTAGCCTAATTAATTGCTGAAAGAATTTGAAATTTGTTTCCTACTGTTATCGCAATATAAAATAAATTAATTTAACGAACTTTTGTTGCTTAGAAAGTTAGCTAGAAAAAAAGATTTAAATTAAATTTTATCATATAGCAATTTACAATTATCATTAGTATTGCTTCTCCCTGATAATTTCATCAGCATGCTTATCTATTTCCCTGATAAACAAAAAAAAAAAACTTATTTTCTAATAAGCCCATTGTTATCGAAATAACACGTTAACTTAATGATGAAATTCTTGCGCCTAATTTAGCTTTAATTAAATTATAAGTTTATGACTAGATATCATTACTTAATAATTATAAATTCGTATTACTTATTCTTGATATCAGAAAATTTTTCTTAAATTTATTCTTTTGATGTTTTAAATTTATTATTTGAAAACTTTACGTCAGGACTACTCATTCATTCAATCATTCACAACGATGTATGATGTATTTGTTTCACTATTGACCTAATTATAATTTTAAATAAATATGATCAACACTAGTAATATTAACATCATTTTATCTCATTTAATTTTATTATTTAAATTTCATACTTATTTTATTTTTAAATTCATACTTATTCATTTAAAATTAATTTTACTCATTCATTTAAATTCATTTGACTGGAACATTTTAATTACTTATTTATTTAAATTTTAAATTCATAATTGTTGAAACTATTTATCAACACTATCATTTCATTTTCATGTCAGTATTTTGAGAATTAATTAAGCATGTTTAAGCAATATCATTTAATTAAATATATCATATATTTAACAAACAATTTTAAAAGAATCTAATCAAACTACTCAAGCATATATTGCTGTAATAATTATTTTTGCAACAAGTTAGTTTACTTTAATTTTTTTTTTTTATAGCACAACGTAAGCGTCGTAAAGAGATAGCAATACCATATCGATCTATTGTAACCAGTCGTTCTGTTTGGGCAATTTGGTTTGCATTTTTGGGTAATGCATTTGGATTTCAACTTCTTGTTCAGTATGTTTTAATTTTTATCGTTTTATAATTTTTCAATTATTAATTGATAAAAATTTCAATTCATTATTAAATTTATCATTTAAATGTCAGAGCTTATGAAAGCAGTTATTTGAAAAAATTATAGATATGTTACCAATCATATTGATTAAATTATACAAATTATAAATAAGTAGGTTTATGGAATGATATATTTTAATATATGATGCAAAAAATTTATTATTTTAAATTATTTTGATTAATTCATTTTTTAATTTTTTGTGAAATAGTAATAATTTGGTAGTAATATTCATAATTCGATGATTTTATCTAAAACTTTATTTAATCACTTACAGATTTATGCCAACATATCTTAACAAAACTTTGGCAGTTCCAATTGAACGAACTGGTTTATCAGCAATATTACCACCTTTTGTTCAATTAGTTATTAAAATGATTGCCGGTGTTCTTTCTGATAAAATAACATGCATTTCGGTTAGTTCAACTCTAATATAATCATCCAATTGTTAAAAGATTCCATATATTCCATTCTTAAAAAAAAAAAAAAAAAAAAAATACAATTATAGCTAACTATAGGCAAACATTATTAAGTTATTAAAAATTTTTGACATAAATGAATATTGATAGATTTAAATTTATAACTTACTAATTACCATAATAGAACGTAGAACTTGATGCTACTAACTTGAATTGAATTAAATTAAATTAAAATTATTAATTGATAAGAATTATGTTACAATTAAAAGTCATAATTTAATGATTTGTTATAAATAAAAAAACCGCAATTTGATGTCTTAATAAATGAAATATTCTTTCCAAACCTAGCTTGTTAATTATTTTGTGCTATAAAATCAAAAAAAAAAAAAAAAAATCACCACATGTTATGCAAACATCAAGCGTAATTAATTCTAGTAAAAAACTATAATTTATTTATCATAAACAGTAAATTCATTATTTTAATTACAAATTTAATAATGATGAGTGTTTTTTTCTTCTTTTTTTTTTTTTTTTTTTTTTTTTATAGGAAAAATTTAAACTTCAATTGTTTAATACAATTGCAATGGTCGGTTGTGCTTCATTCATATTACCACTTGGCTTTCTTAATTCAAATAATGTTGCAATTGCTTTACTTTGTTTTACGGGTGCTGTAAGTTGCATTGGGTTAATTGCTTGTGGTTCAATGAAATCAGCAACATTAATTGCTCGTACATTTACTGAATTTGTTATGGCTGTTGTTCAAGTTCGTTTGTTTGTTTATTTTTTTTTTCTTGTTTACTAATAAGTGTTAGTATTATTTAGTAATGTTTAAACGATTCCTACAGTGATTAATTATCAATTAAGAATGAAATATAATTTACTTCTCAAATGTATCATATTGAATATGTGTATAACTTATTAATAATAGCATATCACTAATACATTTCTTAATATATTAATTACTATGCTTTTCTAGATAAATTAATATTAGTACACTGGTATATTACTACCTAATTAAACTTCAATAATGATACATTCGAGAATATTGATAATTTATTAATAGTAGTGGCAGTAATGCCAGATAAATTTAGATGAGTCAATTTTGATAAATTTCCAATTTAATTCAAGATTTAGTCATTTTAATTAATTCAAATTTGATTTATTCGTCCCTTATAATATTAATAGTTCAAAATTCATTTGAAAAATTTGATTTTTTTTTAAGTGTTTCAAATTCTTCCTTTTTTGCATACAATTTATGTCAACAAATTTATTCAAAAAAAAGAAAATGAAACTTAACAATTAACAAAACTAGAGAAATAAGTTGAATATTTGATTAATTACTACAATTTTTTTTTTTAAATTTTTCAGATAAAATTTAATTATTTTAATAAACAATATATATAAATATACATATATTGCAGCTAGTTATATGTATCAGTATGCTTTTGGTACCATTTGTGGTTAGTACATTAGCACCGAATAATACCATAATGGAATGGCGCTATATTGTCTTCACGACAGCATTCATTTTAATGCTATGTAATGGATTATTTTGTTGGTTATGTAGTGCTGAGCCAGAACCTTGGGCTTTATTAATTGAACAAAAATGTCAAAATCATTGCGATGTTAAAGGAAAATTAGGTCAACAAGATATAGCATAAATATTAATAATGTTTAATTACAATAAATATTTGTTGAAATTATGAAAATTAATTAAACTTTTGAAATATGTCTTTCTTTTTTAAAAAGAAAAAATGTCGCAAATTTTAATTTATACGTTCAAAAAGAAAAAGAAATGTTACAAATTTTAATTTTACAATAATTATTAGTGTTATATTTAATAAAATAATATATTTGTTATGTACATTATTAGTTTATTCAATTATGTTAACACACTTTTTATATTGTATATGTTTTTAACTGTATTATTTCCTTCTTTTTTTTGTATAACATATATTTTTGAAATGTATTGACTATAAATAATTATCTTCTCATCGATTTTGATTAAAATTATAAAGGATAAAAAAATGAATGACTAAAAAAGCAAGAATTTATCTCGATGAGATATATGATAGACAAAGAAATTTCATTAAGCAATTTTCAATAACAATTAGGAAGTTTTCGTACCGTGACAAAAGTTATTTGAGAAATATTATTGTGGTAAATTTTCTTCTTTCTTTGCTTATCAGAATTAAGAAACATTCGCTAAATATTCATAAAAATATTCATTGTGAATTTATTTAAGCAAAAATTAATTCCATATCATTTTACATGCTATATTGTTTATGAAATTTGAGCCTTAATAATAAAAATAATTGTTATTTTTTTTTAAATTTAACGTTGTTACTTTTTTTAATTTTTTTTTTTTTAAATAAATTAAACGATTTACTGGTAGTATTTGACGTTTGTACTGTTTGTAGCAATATTTGATCAAATTGTAATGGGTTTTTTGGAATTATTTTGCTGCTTTAAATTGTTATAAGATGTACTTTATATTATAAAATTTTGATCCATCTTAAGTTTTAATTTAATTCATCCGTTTTCTAAAATTAATTCATGCAAAATTAATCAAGAAATTACTTCAACACTTTGTTTTTTCCACACTTATCATCTTCTACTATATGCTTTACTAATAGTTAAACATAAAAAAATGCATATATCAATCAGTCCTTTCCTACTAAAGAAAAAGATCTTTTATTTTTATTTTTCAATTGAAAAATTAAACGAAATCCTTATTTATAACTTACATACAAACATGAATTATACAATCAATAATTGTTCTGAAATTATCGAGATGAATCATACTTTAATTTGAATTTATTGCAAATATGATGAGAAAGCAGAATTCTTAATCTTTAAAAAAATTTGTAAAAAAAGAAGAAAAAAAACTCCATCAATAAAATGTAATAAATTTAAAAAATTGATACGTCTATTATTCATCCTTAGCAGCATTTAAATTATCAGAAAGTATATATATGTTTTTAAAACATTATTAGTTTAGCTTATATTTAGATGTTTTTCTTTTCGAATTAAAATAATTGAGAATGAGAAGTGATAAATGAGTAGAAATTAAATAATAATTTTATTATTTTTTAAAGAGAAATTTTAATATATTGCAAGAACTGAATTTTTCCTCCTTCGAATAAAATGTCATCAATTTGCCTTACATATGTATGTGTATAAGGTACCTGTTGAAAAAGCAATCTTTGATTACTTAAAATAATTTATAAAATATAAAATTAGTTACAATATGCAATCTTTTATAGCTAATCAAAGATGATAAATCGAATTTCCGAAAAACGGAAACGCCTTCATCCCGAGGACATCCATCCTTAAAATAACGCTTAAAGTGGTAAAATGAAGAAACCTCCTAACAATGAACTGGTTGGTGGTCGTTTCCCTATGTCTCGCTGTGTTTCGATACGTTTCCAGATTATCGTTTGGAGTATTATCTAATTGAAAGACTTAATGAGTGAAGGGTTAAACGTATATGTATATATATGTACGTTTGCATTTTTCATTCAAACATTCTCTTTATATACCTTTGTTAAGGTCAGCTTTTCCTCACCATTGACCTTTTTTATCGATGACCTTTCGTATCTAGATGACTTGAAAGTTCCTCATTTATAATTTGAAAACGAAAAGGTGAATAGTGTTTATTTTTTCATACTCTCAGCTATTTTTTTTTGTGATTATGTTAATTCATCATCAGAAAATAGAATGGCTAAAATGAATAGTGAATTTTTTATAGTATTTCATATTGCTACTTTTATCTTTAGAAATGAATAATGCAATATATCGATAATAATTACAGAAATTTGAGGCAGCAAAAAATGGATCCTATATCATTTGAAGCTTTCTTAGTGGTTTATTATATGCTTTTTATCTACTAAATTTAAAACTTTATCTTTTATAGGAGTGTAAGTAGATTTAGCAACTGCTCGACATGCGTTCATCAACAAGGTAACAATTCTTTGTTTTTATTCCAAAAGTTGGTTTAAGCTAAATCTCTGGACGAGGTAACACACAGGTAAGGTTGGTAAATAGATAAGCTTTGATATATAGATAAATACTCTGTCCTTAATTCTCGATTACACTTAATTGTTTCTGTCAAAGCAGGCAATAATTGGTGCATTATTATAAAATGTGCTTGTTTTGATTTTCAATTAATTGTTTAGAAAATTGAAATCAGTACGATTTGTTTTTAATTTGAAAAAATAAGGCAATTAATAATGATACTGGAAAATAATAATGATACTTAGTAATAGTGATACTGGAAGAGCGTCCACGATTTCTACTTCATATGGTTCGGCTTGTGATCAAAAAGACCAAAAAAGTGATAATGATGTGGAAAATTGTTGCGATATTGAATCTTCTAATAAGGTACCTTTTTGTTTGCAACTCGGGCTTCGCTTTCGTTATTAAGCTATCAGTTGCATTGTAAATAGAGCACAGATAATATCTGAAAACCTTTGTAAATTACATAAGTTTAACTTTTTTTTTCCAATATCATTTCGCATAAAAGGATACTTTAGCCTTGTGAGAAAGTAAAAGACTTATTAACAGAAATAAAATAAATGAATCATCTCAGATATTTCTTTATTTTATTTGAATTTAAAGAATAAGCAGGAAGAAATAGAAATGGAAGATGAAGAGGGAAGTAATGATTCAAAACGCGTGCGTCATCATCGCGAATCAGCAGAAGTTGCTAAAAAACGATTGAAGTTAGATCTAAAAAGTTCTGTTGATCGTGGAATTGTAGAGGTAAATTTCTTACTAAAAAAATTGAAAATATTTCTGTTGCTAGAAATAGTTGTTTGTTAGCTCTAGTAAGTTTATGCAAACTAGAACATCTAATTTATACCACAATCTTTAATAACCAATCTTGTTTCACTTAACTGCAAGTCATTACTGAAATATAATGAAAGTCATAATGTCATCACAATTTGATCCAAGATTGCTTTGCCATATATCAATTTACAGTTAAAATTTGCCCTGATGAGTAGATTTTTTAAGAATTACAAGCTACTCGTTAAGTTTTGATAAATTTAATGAAGTCATAGTTTTTATTTCCATTTTAAAGAACGGTTCAGAATCGAATGAATCGAGAGAGGGTTCTTGTGAACGCAATGATTGTGGTCCTTTAAAAAACTGTGCTTTGGGTGTTTCATCCATGTAAGCTATTTTATGTTGTTTTATTTGAAATTAGTCATTCGCAGAGAGATCTATGTTTAATGGGTAGCGTTTCACTAAGTATCGTCTTTCTTTCATGCCTAATGAATTAATTTAAATTAATTCCACATTTTTGCTGTTGTAATGGAAATAATTATGATTTCGTAAAAATTGTCAATTGATTTAACAAAAAGCTTTCGACCATTCTTTATGTCTGCAAATTTGACATTTTTTAGGTGTTATGGTCAAGAAAATAGTGGAAGTACACATCCTGTAGATGGAAATTATAACTACAAAACTTTCCATCATATTTCGAAAGGCGAGCACGTTTGTTGTGCATGCTATGATGAGATATGGAAGCCGTAAGTTCTAGTTTAGTATTTCTTAAGTTACACTGTCATATATTCAAATTCCTGCATAAAACAGAATTTTGGTGAAATAATTAACTGAAATAAATTTAGTGGTCGAACAGGTAATGATCGTTTCAATGAGTGGAAAGGGAAATGGGCTTCTGAAAGTCGTTGCACCCCATGTGTACGACTGTATATTCAGGACCAGTTACTTCCATTCTGGTTGCAGTGCAGACTTTGCAAAAAGTTCAGGTAGGTTCTTATAAAAATTTTTCAAGATTTGTATCGTTTTTGGGCGATTTTAGATAATCTGCGGAAAATAGGAAATCTTTTTTGTTTACGGACAAAATTTATTTTGAAGAATGTGATGGATTTTTATTGAAGCAGAAATATAGTTAAAATTCAATCCTAAATTAAATTTAATAAACTTGAGAATCCATACATTCACTAGAACTTTTTTTAGGCATTTATCAACTACTGTGACTAGTATAAATCGTGAGGACGTCAAGAAATTTGTTTGTGCTAGTCAAATTGAAGCTGATAGAGATGACTTAAACGACCCATGTGGCGTTAAAGAGGAAGAGGTATTGTAGTGGTTGTTCAAATGAACTTCTTTGGGACATGTTCTGTTCATTATGTCTTTAATTTATTGCCATTTCTATGATGATTACTCTTAAAAATTTTTGAGACAACTTTAATTTTTCATTCAGTAAAGTAAGCTTTCAGTGTGTTCGTGAAGCTTCTGAAACGTTATGGATAAAGTCGGTCAGTATTCCACCTTTACTACATAATTCACCTGCAGCTCCGTTTTTACAACATGAATATTACTATGATGAAGTGGGCATTAGTCCTACTAATGAAATATTCGAACATCAAAGTGGTAATTCTTTTCCATTTTAAATTTTAAGGAATGATTTTGTTGAAAAGAATAAGCAAGACTTTTGATTGTGGGGTTTTTCCATTAGACAGTGTTTAAGTTCCAAAAATTTTCTGTTAAATTCCCGAGAAATCATTTACCACTATATAATTAAAAGTTTTTTCTTTTGTGAAATTGGATAGGTATCTTTATTTCTTTAAGATCTTATAATTGCTAATACAACAGCATTATTAATTAATGTTACGCACGATCCTATACTATGAGTCACCAGGAAATTTAGCATTTCTATACGTTCCTTGCTATTTTTACTTTATATTATCGCTTATGATGAACTTTTTTAATTACTATTTGTCATGATAAATTATGGTTTTCTCGAAAGATAAACTTAGAATAAATTTATAATTGGTTAGAGGATGCAATTCGGGATTTTATGCGCCCATTTAATATTCCACATGAACAGTCGATGGCATTTTGTTTACGACCGGATGTTATGGAATACGATGAATTACACAGCTTTCCGGAATATGCTACTGAACCAGTTGCTTATTTAGCTATGCGGAATCTGGTCATTGCTTTATGGAATCTTAATCCATTTGTGAGTTTTATGAAACATATTTCTTAAAGATTCGGAGATTAACTCAAGAAATATATCATTACATTACAGATTGCATATAAAACCTTAATTACGTCAAATACGCAAAATTTCTATCCTTTGTATTGTTTTCTCAAGTTTTGAAAATTTGATTTTTTTTAAGCAATATTTAACTGTTGAATGCTGTATTCCGTATCTAATTTGTCGCGGCCTTGCACGAGTTTGGTATATTAATGAATTAAATCGAGTCATCAAGTTTCTTACTCTCAAATCTCTCATCAATTACGGTGTGTTAAATTTCCCGAAAACTTCGGTGTTTACATCAACATATAATGTAAGTCATTTAAATTATTCTTCTATTTATATGATAGTTTAATAACTGATATTCTGCTGAGTTATAACATTATCAACTCCAAATCTACAAGCAATCAAAATTGCTGCTTTTGACAGTACACTTTTTTTGAGATTCAAGTTAAAATTTTTTAGGATATGGAAGTGGTCATTGTTGGAGCTGGAATTAGTGGCTTGACTGCAGCTCGACAGCTTCGTTCATTTGGTGCTCGGGTTAAAGTTCTTGAAGCAAAGGGAAAATTAGGCGGGCGATTATTGGTCTGTTATCTTTTATTATGTATAGCGAGCTATACAGAAAAAATTTGCTAAATTAAAGAAATTTCTTTTTACATTGTGTCAGATTCACAAGAATGTTCAACTCTTCTTGAGGCATAAAATTTGAGGTTTGCAAGCTTCTCAAAGTGGTTTATCTTTTAAAATTTACCTATTTTTAGTATATTTAGTAAGGTATTAAAGAATTTTATTGATCATTGTGATCTGAGCTTGTACATCTGATAAAAGAATTTACTTCTTTTCAGTGGTCTAATAAAGTTTTATTATAATGAATTTTAGACAATCTTTGTGAATCTGGTAGAAGTACATTGTTAAATTTTATGATGTGTTTTTTACAATTGTTAGTTAAACTGTTATCGAATTCTGCTTCTTTTTTACTTTGCAATTTATGCTTTCAAATCGAATAGAAACAATAATTGCAGGATGATTGGTCTTTAGGCGTTGCAGTTGGCAGCGGTGCACAGCTTATCACTGGAATTATTAACAACCCGATTGTCTTAATGTGCGAACAGGTGTACTTATATTCTTTTTCTCTTATAAATTCCATTACACAAAGTTTTTGGAAAGAAATTTTGTCACATGCTCTTTTACAATCTGCCTGTTTTTCTTTTTTTTTTTTTTTTTTTTCATTTAGTTCTTCCGAAAACTATTCCATATTGCTGTTAACTTTGCATGAGTGTTGTATTTCTTTCAGAGAATAGAAAAAAAAAATATAATAATATAATAAAAATATAAGTATATATAAATAATATAAATGGAATAAAAATATGTAAAATATAAGTAAAATATTAATGATAATAAAAATTATGCCGGTAGATGGAAAATTTTGATTTAACATAAAAATTCTAGATAGGTGTTGTTTATCGAGCGGTAAAAGACGAATGTCCGTTGTTGGATGCAGGAACTGGAAAGCGAGCATCAAGCATTTGTGATCGAGTTGTCGACGAACATTTTAACTGTTTACTGGATTGTTTGGCCGACTGGAAACAAAATGTAAAAGTTGGTGATGAAAGTCTGTACGGTAATTTTTTACACAATTTGCATATTGAAAATTCAAATTAAATAATGCTTGGGCATTATTTGGTAGAGATTATTTTAAAATCGTTGTGCTATAATTGTGTAAGGAAGATCTCTTCTAAACTTTTAAAATGCATAATGAGAAGTTCACTTCATATATTTATATATTTGAGATGTTGAGTAGAGGGACTTGTATTAACTATTTTTTGGAGTTGTGGCATACTTGAAACCGATTTATTCTATAAACTAAGGAATTTTTTTTTGAAATCCACTTCTCTTTTTTATGATAATCTCTCCAAAATTTATTTTCAGATCGCATAATGGGCTTACATAATGCATTCCTGAAATCGACAGGACTGAAATGGACTGAAGTTGGTGCATTTATTGCTTTTTCTTTCTGATTCTATTATATATATATATATATATATTTTTGCTAATTTCATTTTAATTCAAATTCTTTTTATTTTAATAACTTTTTCTAATAGGCTTTAAAAAGTAGCACTCATTATAATTTTTTATTTTGGTTCTATCATTTTTTCACAAATTTTTGTTTTTTTAAAAGCTCTGAACATTTCTTATTGTTAAAATCCAGCATCATACTCTGATCTGCTTCTATCAGATTTAGTGATATCAAATTATTTGCGTAGTTATTTGCACCCTCTATGTAAATTATTCCCAGTTCTACATGCCTCATTATTATACATTTGTCTTTTCCTTGCATGCTTAACATATGCATTTAGTGTGCAGTTCCAAACTCTCAAAAATGTATATTTTAATACAATATCTGAAAATTCAGTCAGAGCACAACCTGCTTGTGCCCAGCCATAGCTCAGTTGGTAGAGCGGAGGACTGTAGAGTGCAGCGTGGTGATCCTTAGGTCGCTGGTTCGAATCCGGCTGGCTGGAGTCCATCTTTTGTGACTACTAATTGTTTGCATAAGTGAATGTATTTGTACAGTTTAGTGTAAATATGCGCTTCTTTGTTTGAAGCAAAAGAATTTGAAAAAAAAAAAAAATAAATAAAAACTTTCTGTCTTTCTACTTAAAGCCAAATGTCAACAAGGAAGGAGAAATTCTAATACAATACTAGATTTCAATACGTCTTAGGAATGTACGTTTGGATCACTGTATTTTATTGAAATATTGGTAAAGTTACAGGTTTAAATTTTCATTAAAGGATTAAATCAAATAGGAAGATAGGAAAATGACCATAGGTCTATGTTTAACATTCTAATGAAATCAGGAAGAAGAGCGCATGCTACAATGGCAGATTGGTAACGTGGAGTTTTCATGTGGCTCGAAGTTAGATGGTGTTTCGGCTCGTAATTGGGACCAGAATGAAGCAGTGGCACAGTTTGCTGGAGTTCATGCTTTACTAACTGATGGTACGTCGGAACTAATGCGTCGATTGGCAGAGGGTACCGATATTCGTTGTAATCATGAGGTTAGCTTTTTCTGTTGTTTTTTTTTTTTTTGTTTTGTTTTGTTTTGTTGATTGTGTACTTCTTCAAAAAATCGGCTTTCCTGATTAATTCTTAATTTCTTGATGAATAATTTAAAATAATATACTATTTAATAATAGAAAAAAAGGTCTTCTTGTGTAGGTGATATTAAATTTTCGAAATTTTTTTAGAATCTCTTCAGGTATCAAAGATTGAATGGCAGGGGCGAAAGAAAATTCTCGTTAAATGCAGTAATGGAAAAAAGTATTCATGCGATAAGGTTTCTTCCATTCCTTATTTTATTTCTGGCAAAATTTCGTTTTTCAATATTTTTTTAATGATCCAAGGTTTTGGTCCCATTTGTCCTCTTTATTAATAACTTATTTCTATTCCTGTTATACTTTTTTTTCTCATGTTCAGAATAGGTAATAGTGCTCCGCTTGCAACAAAACGGATTTTCTATTTCAGTCGTTCAGAAACGATATGCTCAACTGCTTCATTCTTCATTTAGCACTATTACTGATAAAAATTGAACATTCGAACAGTGATATGTTGTTAAATAGCTATTCCTTTATTTGAGGTTTTGGTTACTGCTCCATTAGCTGTGTTACAAAAAGAATTAATCACATTTGTTCCTGCATTACCACCAACAAAAACAGCTGCTCTAAAGAATTTAGGTGCTGGCTTAATAGAAAAGGTTTGAATGTTACTCCTCTAACAAATGAAGATGAACTTTTTTTGTAAGGCAATCGGAAATTGATTATTTGTATTCTGAGCTATGGCTTGTTTGGTTACTAATGACCTTTCATCGTTTTCAATTATTTGTAAACAGTTTGGTGCAGTGTGAGGTACTAGACTGTGAAATGAGCTTATTTCTTTCTCTATATTATCTTATTTCTCATGGCACTTTGCTTCTTTGATGGTGTAAGTTTAAATGTTTTTAGATTCTGTATTAATTAAATGTGGAGCAAATTTTCACTTTTTTATCAATTTTATGTGAACTTTTAGGTAGCTGTGAAATTTTCACGACGTTTCTGGTTGTCCATTCTAAAAAGTGATGGAACGTTGGATTATTTTGGCCATGTGCCGAAAAATGCTGATGAAAGAGGACTTTTTAATATGTTCTACGATTTTTCAACTCGTGTAAATATTGTTCAAGAATTTCTGAGTTTTTCTTTTTTTTTTTTCTTTTATCCAAAAACCACCTTTGTTCGTTCTTATATGTTTTTTTTTTTTCAAAGTTTATTTCTTCATAATTAGTGCATTATTAATAAAGAGCTGCAGACCAGTGCGCAGTTATAACTTATTACCAAAATTCTGAACCTTAGACTTGTTATTCGAATTTATAACCGAACTTAATTGAACATTTGGCATAGAATATTAGGTAAATATGAGATAATATGCAGTATGTGTCATTCTTCAGATGTATTTTATGCTTACCTTCTATAGAAATTGCAAAGCCACTTATAATAATCTTATTTAGGGAAGTAAAAATCAGCATTATGTTCTAATGTCCTATGTATGTGGCGACTCGGTGAATTTAGTAAATGAAAAAAGTGATGTGGAAGTAGTGGACATTTTTGTAGATACTCTTCGCGATATGTTTCCTCAAGAGGTTTAGTTTCTTCATATTCAATAAAAAATTACCAATGTTCGTAATTTTTTGTAATTTTTAAATCAATACTTTAAAAATCTTGAATTTCAAGTTATGATGATGATACACAAGTATTTATCTTTAAATCTCACTTATTTTCCTTACCAAACTTAAGCAGTTGTGATTTTTGTGAATTCTAGAATATTCCGGACCCAGAAGGTTATGTTGTAACACATTGGGGTCGAGATCGTCACATTGGTATGTCATATACTTATGTTCGTGTGGGTGGTAGTGGCGATGATTATGATAAGTTAGCAGAGGATATCGACGGAAAGCTATTCTTTGCGGGAGAAGTATAGCATTTTCATTTTTTTTGAATGAATTGTACAAAAAAAATTAAGTTATTCCTCATAAATCATATCTCCTTTTGTGAATACAGAGAAAATATCTAGCGAATACTTATAAAAGCTTAGCTGCCTGTCTTTCGATATTTTTGTCATTCCTAATGTTTTGTTTAATCTATTCCCTACCAGATTGTTTTCTATTAAATATATTTAATTATATTCATTTTCCCTTCATTTACGTTATTTGATTTAAAATTAATATTGCAGGGAACAAATCGCTTCTTTCCGCAAACGATGACTGGTGCTTGTGTAAGTGGTCTACGTGAAGCAGGAAAAATTGCGAATAGTTGGATGGAGCAAACGTCAAATTAGGTTTTGATGATCATTACGATATTCACTTATGGAAAAAGTTTGGAGTTGGCAGTAGGTGAAGGGTTTGAAAATTTATTCATTTTTATATGTTTAGTATTTTGATTTTATGATACCAAACATGGCAAATTATTTTCATGAAAACTGTATAGTGTTGAAAATAGTGAGGAAGTGGAATATATATAATGAGGAGAGGCAGTGTGTCTTTTTTTTTTGTATGTTTTTAATATAAATAAAAATATAGTTTTTAATATAAGCCAGAATATATTATATTGATATTGATATGTTTAGCAAATTGGGAAGTAAATTATTGAAGAAGGGTTCTAACGTGGAACGGTTTGATAGGTTTTCATTTTCCTCCTTCCCAGTGATGCAGTGTACTATTTAGATATTTTATTTTTTCATCCTGATTTTGAGTTTGTTTTTTTTGAAAATTTTCCATGAATTAGTTGCTTTTCCGATCTTACAGCTCTATTTTCTTTTTATTTTTCACTTCCAGATGCAAACTCTAATAGCCTAAGTTTGAAACTATCTTGAAAGCATTTGAGAAGTTTACGATGCATGTTTAGATTGTTTGACATAAAATATTTGGACATCTGATGGTGCTCAGTTCTTGTTATTTGCGGTGATGTTTAGTAAAAAATATGAATGTTGCGACATTTATAATATTAGATTACTTACCTTTAATTTTTGTAAATATATGAGTTGTATATGTCAAGTTTTACAAGAATTTATCATAGAATCTGATCCATATTCTTGAACTTTCATCTATTAATTTTATAAATACTAAGATATATTATAAATATCATATTTTTTATAAGTACAAACATTATATTTCTGTTTTATTATGGTGTATTTATTATTCAAAGGTGAATATATGTAAATTCTATCTAAATTTTATCTGTAGCATGAAATTTAACTTAATTACATCATTTCCCTAATTTTCATATATTTCTTTGACTTATTTAATTTTAACAGAAGGATTCTCAGAATTTTCATTTGCGGTGCCTCTGATGTTAATATGATAATGTCTTGGTTATAGCCTTTCAAAGCGAATCTTTTGCAGCTTTTCATATTTTCAGACTTTTTTCATTTCAGAACTTATATATTTCATTATTTGGTAATGTTTTGTATTAGTCGTTCTGTGATACGTTTTACAGTTTTCAATTTGTTTTGTTTGTTGTTTTTTTTTCTGCAAATTAAAATTTTTTCAATCATGTTATTTACATCTGCTACAAAAACTAATATTGGAACAGTACTGTTTCGAGCTGGAACAATTCAAATTCAGCTTCCTTTCATAATTCGTCAAATTCGAGAAAGTTTCTAAATTTGATCACAGATGAAGAAGAGTTTGAGCAAAACAAATATCCTCGGTAGCAATTCAAAGCAACATTTAGTTCGATTCCTAATTCTCTTGTTTCATCTTGTTTCATAGGTAGCTGGATTTTTATTGCAAATCAATTTTTAAGATTAAAAAAAAGTAGATTCATACAGTCTGTTCCAGAACTAGATTCTCAGTTATTTTAACATTTCTAAAACTCAGTTTTCTAAAATCTCTTTGCTTATCTGTGAATGTTTGGAATTTCTTCATGATTCGAATGAATTTTTTGCGTGCATTCCTCCATTTAGTTTAAATATGTTTTCTTCAAAATTTCTGAAAATTTATTACCTGGTGAGTTTCGTGATATATGTGTCCGCAGATTTCAGTCTTTCAGTGATTGCAATGATCAGCATTGATTTTTCTAACCACTTATTTTTGAGATTGTAAACACACACATACAATTCAACAAATCATTCTTTTTTAACTTTCAAAAATTACATGATGTAAGATCAGATAAAAATAATCTCTCACTCTCACTCAACTTATAACACTTATCAGTTATAGTTATTCTGAAATAACTATAACAAGGAATCTCAGCTTATAACACTTATCAGTTATAGTTATTCTGAAATAGCTATAACAACGAATTTCTCACTCAACTTATCATAGTTAATTGAAAATAACTGTAATGATTAGCGACACTTTTTTAATTACAGAATGAGGTTGCTTTCAAATTTTCAAGTTTTACCGTACTAAAAGATTTGTCTAAATTTAGCTTTCATATATATATTTATTTTACCATAAAATTTGTACTGTATTAATAATAATTTATGACAAGATTTTTGAAATAACAATGATTGATTAATCAAAAGATGAAATTATTACTCTTGATAAATCACATGAATTTGCCATATATCTGTTTAACTTTTCTTGATTCTTTTTTTATACATAAGTGTAGATATGTCTGGGATACTATTAATTACTGGTAAAGATGCGGAATTTTATTCTTTATTGGTAGGTGAAAAAATTTTAGCTACTAAATTAGATTTTTTTTTGTGAAATCTCATAATTTTTCAGAGATATTATGGCTGATGGTGCGTATGTTCGAATATTCATTAGAATATAAAACGTATTAAACAATACTACTAGTATGTAGATGAATAAATAATTGATGAGCAAATAATTGCGAAGTCATTATTTGATTAGTAATTGTCGCTTTTGTTGAAGGGTTATTCAAAAATGCGTACAGAGTTAGTTATAATTAACATTATCTTAAGTCCACTTAATTACAAATAAAAGTGAAAAAATTTTGAATTTCTTTGATCAATTAAAAAACATTTCCTCATATAAGCATATATCAGATATAACTAGCTGTGCAATTCATAATATTGTCATGATCTGTCATTTATTTTCTTTAATAAATTTTAGGCTTATATTAAAGAATAAACTGATTTACCATTCTTATCTGTTATATAATTAGTAAATAATTATCTTATTAGCAATTATTGTTGCTTTTGTTGAAGGATTGTTCAAATATATGTGCAGAGTTAATTATAATTGACATTATCTTATGCTCATTTATTATTCTAATTTATTATTCAGATAAAGCCATGGAGACATTTACGATTTTTATTATTTCATGCATGTATGAATGATGGATGAAATCTCCAAAATATTTCAGGATTTAATCCAGTAATATAGCATTTATGAATAAACTAACAATTTATGATAAAGCTCGAGAAGATTTGCATGAAATGGACATTTACCGTGATACCGCGGTACGATTTCTTGGTGAGTTTTACAAATTTCCATATATCTTCAGAATATTTTTGTTGTTTTGGTTATATTATAGATGAGCAGAACAATTTGTGTGGTATTTGATACCAGAAATAACAGTTTTTTTGTTGTTGTCTTTTGTTTTACTCTAAAGTTTTTATGTTTTGATTTCATTTCATAAGTTTCATTCAAAGATTAAAATGTTTAAAATCCACTTTTAAGATATGATGTTTTTTTTTTATTTCGCATTCTCTTTATAAAACATCGGAAAAGTTAGTGGGTCGACGATTTTATTTGTACTTCCATGGATTTATACTTTCAGCTTATTTTACAGTTATTTCGAATAATGTACTTGAATACATGTAACATTTTCAGGTTATGCAAATGAAGTTGGTGAAGCATTTCGTGCTTGGGTGCCAACAAATGCAGTACGAATATCATATGTTGTTGCAATGGGTTATGTTTTTTCTGACACAGCTGACAAAAGTCGAAAAACATATCAGGTTGAATTATTCATGTAACTTTTCAAATGATTAAATTATTTCTGGATCTATTTTCAGTAGATAAAATGAAATAGTCTAACAGTTTTGCATTCTAAAAGTTTCAATTTCAGTTAAATTATTTGAACTGTAAGGAACGATATCGAGCTGTTGCTTTTCGAGCTGTCGATACATTAATCTGGCAAAGTTTGGCATCTGTTGTCATCCCAGGATTTATGATCAATCGTGTTTGTTATTTGTCCATTAAATTGCTTACCCGGTTAGTTATCTATGCGAATTTATACATCATCTTTAGCTTCTGAAAAAACCTATGATACACAAGAAAGACGCTAAACGATGTGCTAATTGCTAATGTAATTAAACAAATATTAATTTGTAATAGAAAGTGCAGTAACTTTTTATTTGATGCAATAATTTTGAAAATAGAATTATTTTTATTTAATAAGAATTTAATTTGCCTGCTGTATTAAAGATTACCTCATAAACTTTCTCATCCTTGTGAGGTAGCCTATCACTGTTCTTTCTATTTCAATGAAAATTTATTATTATAGTTTATAATCCTTAGATCTAACTTTTACTGAAGTTATTGCAACTATTTTTATAATTTATAGGTCAACTAAATGGCCATTGAAAGTACAAAAATTAACATCAACAGTAATTGGACTATGTACCATACCATTTATCGTGAAACCGATTGATACAGCTGTTGAGATTGGAATGCAGTCTTCGATAAGAAAATTCTATTCGGTGGAAGTTTTCAAAAAGTGATGATTTAAAATAATGGTAAGTTTTTTGTTCATTTTCAGCTATGGTAAAGAGGATAGTGGTTGAATTGAAATATGTAACAAAAAATTTAAATTCGTCATTAGACATTCAAAACAGCTTGAAAATATTATCTTTTAAATTGTGCTAATAGTAAGAAGAATTAGAAAGTATTCTAGTAAAAATACTATATCATTTTTTTTTTCTGGTTTCATTATCTCTATTCAAAATGCTTTTAGTTTTTTGTTATTAACAATTGCAATTGAAATCCAAAAGTTAGTATTCCTTTAATATTATTGTTTCCCATTTTTCTTCATTTTTTAATTTGCAAAGTTTACTGACATTTTATGAGAATTTAGCGTAATCATTTTGTTTACCTTATATTTCCAGTAATTTGCCTTTTTCTCAGTTGTGTTACATTTCCCATATTTTTTGGCATTGCAAATATTCATAACGATTAAAGATTTTAAGCTTTTTTTTTGAAATTGAAAATTATTGCATTTAAAAATAGGGAATTCAGCTTTTTTTTTTGAGGAACAAAGAGTTCAAGGTTTTTTTGAAACTGAAAAAATATTAATTTTGTTATTAATTGGATTAAAAATTTGATGTTTTTCTAACCATATCGCTGTATTATTTTAATACATCTTATGCATGTTATTTCAAATATTTTTGCAAAAGAAGAGAAAATAAATATTTTTTTGTATTCACTGTTGTTCACTGTTTGATATTGAATTCACTACTTTCAATATTTTATTACCTTTTTTTTCCCATATGCTAAATATCTCATTTTTATAAATATGTATATGCATATCACATTGATCATTGATATTTGCATATCGCGATTTAATGTATGTGCAACCTTCATTCAAATTCGCCATACATTTGAGTTTTCCTAATTTTCTATTTTTGTTGGTTAGTTTTCTTTCGTCTTTAAATGAACGTTTATTTTTTATTCATAATTTAATCAACTTTTATTAAGCTATTATTATTTCTTTTGATTTTTTGCAGATTTCTAAATCATAGTTATTTCTTTTCATCTATCTATGGGAGATTATACTACTACTTTATCTTTCATCTTTAATTTACATAAAAAGATTAGTAGGCATAAATGATAATAAAAATTTTATTGTGCAAATTTCTTTGCATTTGCTAAAAGATGAAATTTTAACGTAGTTATTAACAGGCATAAATGAGTATGAACAGTGTGGTAAATCATTTTTGATAATTGTTGAATGTGATATGTTGAATTAGGTATTTTGGTTTCTTTTTTTATTTTTATTCCATTCTTAATTACTATATAGATTTTAGATTTCAAAAGATAATTGGTTACGATGTTTCATCATCGTCGTCGGGTATTCTTTTTTTTAGCTTAGATTTGAATAGCATCTTATGTAATGAATGGGTAATGATTTATTTCCAATCAGTATATAACTAGCAGTGGGTATTTGCTTATGTATTTATTTATTTTCTCATTTTTTGTTATTGAAGAATTTTCAAAATTCAAATGAAAGGTTTTTAATTTATGGCATTTTGTCAGAAATGGTTGTTTGAATATTTTAAGAAATATTACAACACAATTGCTTATTTTAATATTTAAATTTGTCGTAGAATATAAGTTTTTGCATTTAGTCTTTTTTTTTCACAAATTTTTTATTTTTTATATCTTTCTCAAATAATTTTATAAGACATATTGCCGAATATTTCGCAACTTTATGCGCTCGGAATGGACCGAATTATGAATTTATAATTTTATGATCGTTTAGTTTCTTTTGAAACATATATTAATTTAGCTTGGAAATCTTATGCGACAAACATTAAAACTTATCTTTCTAAAAATGTATTAATTTATTCAAGTTTTTGTAATATCTCATATTGTTTTCATATTTCTTTTATATTGTTTGAACGTTGTGAATATAATTTATTTTCTATTTCTATTTTTCATTTCCACATGCTTATCAAATTCAATTTTTCAGCTTATGGCAACTTATGGTTGCAGTGTTTCAGATAATATGAAACTGATGTACAATGTTGAAATATTTTGCTGCATGCATAATTGATTTCTTCTCAATCTAATAATGATTTTAACATTAATTTATTTTATAAATCTCATATTCTGAATGATTTATTTGTAACATGATTTCGTTCCAGTTGTTCTGCCTTTTGATGAGAGGACAATTTTACTTATTATGTTTTGTCTGTTCTTAGATTTTCGAGAGGTATGAGTGCAACATCGGATAACATCTTGCCGCAGGAAGGATCTCGAAATGAGATAGTCGAACGGTAATTTGCTATTTTTGCATATTATTAAATTTGAATGAGATTAAAAATAATTAAAAAATATAGAAACATAATTAATAATATTATTTTTAATAGTATTAATAATAAAAATATAATAATGTTACTCAAATATATTACTAGAATGTTTTGAGATTAACTTTACGAGATAACTATATTATATCTATCCATTATGTCACGGTTAGAGATGAAAATTACTTCTATTTAAGTGGTTATAAGATAAGTAATTGTATCATTATGATCTGACCGTATTATTTATCTTAAATCATTAAGCTTTGCTATATGCCTTATTCAAATTGTTTCTTGTCTGACATAATTTGTTCCCATTCACACTTTTTTTTTTTTTTTTTTTGGATTTTCTAATAATGAATTTACACATTAAAATCTTTCGTTTGTGCCTTATTTGACATTACGATGCAGTTAATCTCTTACCTGTTCATAATTACCTCATGTAGTGTTGTATATGTCGAGTTTATTGAATTATAGTTTTATTTTTGCTAATTTCTTATTTTCTGAATTGTTTTAAAAGTGAAATTAAATTGTTCTGAGTTCTTCCTTCATTGATTTTTTTTTTTTTTAAACCAATTTTATCTTTAGCGTTCTATTTACTGGCGTTAACTGTGGGATCAATTTCGATAAATATGAAAAAATACCGGTTCTAGCAACAGGGAGTGATGTGCCGTTTCCGTGTGCAGTGGTAACGTTTTATTTTATTTTTTTGATAAAAGTAATAAACTTAAATCTTCAAACTTCTAAATATTGTTAGCTTTCGTACTTCTTATATGCTTTGTGTATTATACTATCCATATATATTTCATGGTTGGATATTTCTGTCAATAAATATTTTTAGTTCGATGAACTGCAATTGCATCCATGGATTCAGGAAAATATCAAAAAATCAGGTTATACGAAACCAACGCCGGTTCAAGTATTTACTTAATTTTTACTTGCTGCCTGCAAGGCTTCGCATTTCTACTCTTGAACTCTTATTTCTACTCGTTTTTTTCAGAAATATTCTATTCCAAGTTTACTAAATTGTCGTGATCTAATGTCTTGTGCACAGACTGGCTCAGGGAAAACTGCGGCTTTTCTAATACCGGTTATCAATCACATCATTCAAAATGAACCAACTGCAATGAAAATGGTAAGTAAATTTGAAGCCATTTCAATAAATTTATCATTTACTGTTCAAAATTAATTTGTTACTTTTTATACTGCATCTGCTTTAGTTAAATCCTGCCGAGATAGTTTATTAAGTTAGCTCTGATTGATACCGAAGACGGTGCAAAATATTTTTCCTAAAGTTTGAAACAAGTTAAATTGTTTTGCATTGAACAACTTAAATTGTACGTAAAGATACAATAATTTTTTATCAAATGAATTGGATAGCATATGGTTTATATGGGAAGTTAATATTTATTTTGTTAGCGTGTAGATGCATTTCTTTTGTTTATTTTCTGCTAAAGAAAGTAAGTTTTTCAAGTTTATTATTGTTTAGTTCTAGCCTATTAAAAATGTTTTATCAAAGCGAATTGATGTATAATAATGGGAAAAAGCTTTTGATTTTCATCTACTTTCTGAATTATTTACAGTCACATATGAATCGTCGTACGGTATTCCCAGTTGCGCTAATATTATTGCCAACTCGTGAACTAGCTATGCAAACTCATAAAGAAGCTTTAAAATTCGCTTATCGAACCAACGTTTTATCTGCCGTACTTTATGGTGGTCGTGAAAATTACCGCGATCAAGTGCAAAAATTAATGGTATGTGGAATATTATAATAAGCGATTTCATAATCTTTTTTTTTTTTAATGGTGTTATGTAATCAGTTGAAGCTTAGATTTTATAGTGGGTAAGCATAAAATTGTATTAATTTTTTTTTTTTAGCTTGGATGCCATATGCTTATTGCTACACCGGGACGTCTATTAGATTTGATGAATCAGAATGTCGTGTCTCTTCATGAGTGTAGATTTCTGATACTTGATGAAGCAGATCGAATGCTTGATATGGGCTTTGAACCGCAAATTCGACAGATTGTTGAGTATCATTCGATGCCAGAAAAGGTTTAGTTTTATTATTGTTATATTACTATCATCATTTGTATAGCATAGCATACGTCACATTCTTTTTTTAGCGGTATAATTATGTGTTGGATACCAAAAAGAGATCCAAGTGTGAGATTGTATCAGATCATATTTTTCTGTTTAATAGGAATTAAAGTGACTCAAGTGAAAGTATTTGATACTTCTAATCAGTATGCACAATATCTTCAAGACTTTCTTTGATCTGTCAGGAACATATTTCTAGCTTGATAACATTTCATGACCTGATATTTTTTAGGGTAAACGCGTCACAGCATTGTTTTCTGCTACATTTCCAAAAGAAATTCAGGTATTGGCGCAGGATTTTCTTGTGCCAAATTATGTATTTCTTTCCGTTGGACGCGTTGGTTCAACATCTGAAAACATTGTTCAAAAAGTTATTTGGGTTGAGGAGCATGACAAGAAGCGTTTGCTTATGGAGCTTCTCGATACTGATGGTATCCATTTTCTGTGTGTACATTATCTTTAACAATTGTTTATATGCTTTTGGATTTTTTATTTTCCCACGATTTCAGCAATTTGCGGAAAAAATCAATATGCTTTGGTCTTTTTTTGAATATACTAATAAATCCATAAATCTCTTAAGTTAGTAATAATGCATGCTTAACACGATTGTGTTCTCAATTTCCTAAAAACAAGGATACTTCTCCTCATTTATTTCTATGATTCTTAATTTATCCAATAATTAAGCCAGTTTTTCTCGTTTTCAAAGCGAACAGATCGCACTGTTTTTCTTTCTCTTCTGGTACTTTTCAGATTGCATTTTTCAAATTTGACAATATAGTAATTCTAGAATAAATCAAATTATATTAAAAACAAATAGTATATTTGCAGTTCTTTTTTTGAAATGAATATTTCAGATCGATTCTTAACGAGTTAAATTATACAAATTTCAGTAAATAAAGGACTTACCCTAATATTTGTTGAAACGAAACGAGGTGCAAATGAGTTAGCATGGCATCTTCAACGCAATCACTACAATGTTATGCCCATTCATGGTGATCTTAAGCAATACGAAAGAGAACGTCATTTGGAAATGTTCAGATCGGGGCAAACAAATATTTTAGTTGCAACAGCCGTAAGATTTCTCTCTACATTTATCACGAAATAAATCTAATTTAAAAAAAAAACAAAACAAAGAAAAATGTATTAGATTACTGTTGTTATTATTAATGGTTAAGGAAGAACGAAATCTTTTCGTATTACGCATGCAAATTTAGGTGGCTGCTAGAGGTCTTGATATTCCAAACGTGAATCATGTGATTAATTTCAATCTTCCCACTGACATTGATGAATATGTTCATCGTATTGGTCGTACAGGACGAGCTGGAAATATCGGATTAGCAACTTCATTCTTTACGGATCGAAATCGTAATATTAGTCACGATTTGATGGATCTTTTGGTTGAATCTAATCAAGAAGTGCCAGAATGGCTTGAGAAAATGACTAAAGAAAATTATAAAAGCCCTTCCAAATCTTACGATAGAGCGTACGGAGTATTTCTTCTTGATTTATTTTTGCACTTAACACAGTTTCTTGTTCATAGAGAAATTGACATATTTCGTTAAAATTTTTAATTCAAATATCGTTACTGTTTTTTTTATCAAATAATGAAAGTAGAATGTTAGTGCCAAGAAAACAATTACTGAATATCGTAGTAACTAACAAAATCCATAGTTTATTGCTTCACCTTTTCATATATGGTACTGAATTAGAATAAGAACACCATGTAATAGCTTTCAGACGTTTTGGTGAACATGATCATCGTTTAAATGCTGGAAATAACTCATTTCATTTCAGTCGTCCTATATCTGTTGCGCAAAATCGGGTGGAAGAATTGAACTCTTCTGCTTGGTGCAGTCAAACACCAAGCACTATTCACGCGTCGTAAATTTTTTTCTATAAATTTATTTCAAACAACAATTTTTATTTTCGTATTATTTTCGAATCTCGTTCTACAAGTTTAGCACAATCGATAAACAAATTAGTACTTGGAGAAGTATATTATTAACTGTTTCATATCTCAGAACTTAACAATGGCAAATACTTAGTCTCACAGTTATTGAATATAAGAGTTAAAAATTGATTGAGGATTGTGTTTCTACTTTATTAGCTTTATTAAAATAATCAGTGTTAAAAATGAATTTTTTTAGCTTCAGTCATGGTGATACTGGAAATGCTTTTATAAATGAAGCCTCTACTATTTTCCAAAGCAATATGTATCAGATTCCCCAGTCAAATTGCATTTATCAACCACATGGCAACACTTTTTCATTCGTACCGTTTGCTCCAATCAGTAGTATTAATTATTGGCGTAGCACTGCTAATACTTCACAGAGTGTGGGGTAAGTTTAAGTTTAAAAATTTGTCCCTTTTATACTCAAACAGTAACCATCTATATTTGCTAGATATGTTATGGGCGTAAGGCAACAATTTTAATTCATTTTTCGTAATGATAAGAAATTTCAGATTTTTGCAACCTGATGCCTCAGCTTATGGCGAACCTTTCGGGGTTCAAACATCACAGACAGCATTCTGTAATTGGTAACGTTAATTTTATCATATCTCTTTTTTTTTCATCTTCCGCATTTTATTGTTTCTTTTTTAGCATTTTTCTTTCTGGACTCTAATTTTGACTTAACAGTTGCTAATCTTTCATGTAAAAGTTTTCCTACAAAAATTAAGTTCAGGTGGTTAGATTCGAATTAATTCCAATTTCGAAGTGTTTTTTGAATTGCCTTACTTAAATCTTATCTCTTTTAAACTGATGAATATCAACAATTTCTATCAAAGCAGTTAACTTCACCAAATATTTATGCCTTCGTTCGAATTTTTCTAAAAGCTCGAAAAAGGGTATATGTAGTCATGAAAATCACTCTTCTTTTGTATGCATAGAATCCCTGCAACTGATGTGAGATGTTCATAGAGGTAATACCTTGAAAATATTGAGACTAATTATTTGTTAAAACAAAATATACATACACATGAATTGCTTACTCTTTTTCAGGCATTTGTGAAAGGTCATTCTATAAAATCTCAGAAGAATATACGTATTATCGATGAAATTATCTCTGAAGAATAAAATGAGATAGCATAAGCAGTTTGTTTTAACTCGTTATAATTTTACTTAAGCAATAGGAATTTCACTTATTAGTAAACACTGATAGTTTTGAAGAAATGGGAGATGAGCTTTTTGAAAGAAGATTGTACTGAAATAACAAAACTTTTTTAAAAATAGTAACTTAAAAATATATGGTAATAATTAGTTTAAAATTCTCCTATAAGTACATTGGTTTCATTTTCTGCTAATGTTTGAAATTTCCAACGGGGTTTTTTATCTTATGTGTTAGTTTCAAATTTTAATTAAACGTTTGAAATATATTTCTTTTAAATATCCGTTAAATTTTCTTCATCTCCTTAGCATTTCTAATGCATAGAGCTTATTGCCATTTTTTGTTGTTTTCAAATACTTCATCAGGTGCAATTCATCATTTTAATTCATTAAGGGCTTATAGTTAGTGTCGCTTAGTATTATGAGCATATATGTTCCTTTAATTTTTCTGTATTATCATGTTTTCATAAATTTCTGAATTTTAAGGAATAATTAATATGGGAAGATTTCATCAGAAATTGTTTATTACTTCTAGATGCCTAAATACCGTAGTGATTCATAGATAATATTTCAAAATTTTACCAACTGATTTTGTTTACCTTAAATATCTGTTAGATATGCATTAAAATTTCTGTACATATCGCATGTAAATTGAATAGAACTAAATAAATATTAAAAATAAAAAGATGTTATAAAAAATTTTTTCTCACCATTACTGTAATCATATTGATTGGTATCTTCTGCTTGGTATTCTTAATTAATGCTTAATTTGTGACCTTTTTAAGGATGCAAAATCATTCCATATATTTACATAATTTAATCTTGTAATAATGATGCTTTCAAGAGAAACTTTATTGGTTGCATTTTGTTATTCATTAAAGTTTCGGTCTTTTTCTTTCTTTTTTTTGGCATGACAAATGATATTTGTTTATTTCATTTTTTCTTTTTCATAACGAAAGTATTGTTAAAGGATTTGAAGAAAATTTATTATTGTGTATGTTTTTTTTTTTTTTTTTTTTTTTTTTTTTCGCAAAACTTTACAACATTGTTTGATCTGTTTCAAAATATTCAGCCAATGATTTTTCTGATGAACTAATACAGCCGCTTTTTTCAGTTTCAGTTTTACCATTATTTAATTCGTTGTCATCGTTTGAGCTACCGGAATGTTCATCTCGTTGACTTCCCTCTTCCGGACTTACTGATGTTTGCCATGATTCTTCCATAGAATCACCTACTGAACCGCATGTTATCTGAAATTTAATAATTTGAATACAAAATTAAAAATATCTACAATAACAAATAATTATGAAAATTTATCATTCCTATGAAATTATAGAATGAAATTTAAGTTAAATCTGTTCCTTAAGGTATGTTATGTAAGAAAGTTTTCCAATATGCTTTATGTAATAGCTTACATAAAGTAATAGTGAGATTAAATTTAAAATATTTTCCAGTTTCTTTGTGCTAATTAGTAATCAATTTAGATTCGTCAATTTTATGCTTTGCATTTTTTTTTTTTTTTCTAAATAATTTAAAAAAAAAAAAAAGAAAAAAACCGGTTCAATTGGTTCGTTGAAGGTAGTACTTGGAAGTGATGGTACATGTGGTGAATTACTGGATGTTTCACGACATTGTATACTATTACGACGAAATTTTGCTCGAGCATTTTGAAACCAAACCTAAAACAAGTGTTAAATTTGATAATATTGTTAAATAATAATTATAAATAATACGAATAATATTAAATAATTATAAGTAGTATTTCACACATTATCATAATTCCATGCAGTATGTTGTATAGTTTTTTTCAAAAAATTCTCATTTTTTCAAGTGGTACTTAGACTATATTAACTTTATTGCAAAATTTTAAATGGAATTGTCAAGATTTAAAATAAAATTCTGAACAAAAAATCACCTGTAAAACCCTTTTTGTAAGACCAGTTCTTTGTGCTAATTGTTTCAAATCTTTAGCATCTGGATTATGATTTAAATTGAAATAACTTTTCATTGTTCTCAATTGATGATGCTTAAAACTGGTACGCATTCGTTTTGATTTATGCGTTATACTTAACGCTTCTTCTTCAACACAGTCTATAATTCCTTTCATTTTTTCCTTCTATTTTTAAATATTTCAATAAGAAAGAAAGAAAAAACTTATAATCTTTCACCAACTATATTAACTGCACTTTCTAAATATACTTACTTTTGGAAAAAAAATTGCAAAGATAATGCAACATAATAAGAAAATTTCATAATGGTACAAAAATAAATATAGATCAGAAAAGTTAAATTAATATAGCTTGATTTCCGAAAGAATCATGCATAACAAAGAATACTAATCATTATTATTATTGTTATTATTACTATTATTATTATCATTATTATTATTATTACTATTATTATTATTAGTAGTAATATTAGTATTATTTACTATTACTATTAATTATTATTAAATACGTCCCATTAATAATTTCTCAAATAGCAAACGTTTACAACAAGTATGTACGAGATGAAATCGATCTAAAACCTATCGTCAAATATCTAATTATCTGTTCGAATTTTTTAATCATGTAAGATTTTGCTGATGATTTGGTATCATTTCAAAAATAATGTTATATGTAATTTGCATAATTAGAATTTATTTACATAATTAGAAATTATGCAAAGCTCTATGTAACCTAACAATTTTTGTTGTTTTCTGCAATAAAGGATGCTCTTAGATGCATACTGTAGTATTTCTCTTAGAAATAATTGGAATAAGTAATAAATGTTATTTCGAGTTTCGTAGCTAAGTTAGCACTAACTCTGCTCCTCTTCAAGGAACAAAGCGACTCTTTTTGAATACATTAGCAAGAGTCAATGCTTTCTGTCACATTCATCCTCCAATTAGCGCTTAGATACGGTAGCTCTGTGTAAATTTGCTCATCCATATGATATCAATCTTTCATAGCTTTCATTACATTTCTAAATCTTACATTTTTAAAATTATAATTTAAAATTACATTAACTTGAAACATCCATTCCTTAAATTTTACCTCTCTCGCTTTTCCTTTTCCTTTGCAGATTTCTCATTTTTATCCCAAAATTATAACAAAGTTTAAGTTAAGTTTCGCTTTCTCTTTAAAGAAAAGATAATTGATAGATTTTTTTTTTCCGAAAACAAAATTGACAAACAAAAAAAAAAGGGACATATCTATTCCGATGTTCATCAAAAAAATTAATAAAATGAATTGTTTTTTAGCAATTGTTTGACAACAAATCATATGAATGAGTGATAAAATTTGCATTAAAAAAAAAACAAATGATAATGTAAATATTTAAATGGATATACATGTAATCATTTTTCTATTAATTAAAAATTTTAATTGATATCTTTAAAGGCGCAAAGTCTTATGCTTTCTTGTCGTGTCACACTTGCTTATTATCAGTTCAAATAAATAAACAAATAATATTTGCTATTTTCTAGAAGGATGAAAGATTTTTTTCGCAAATGAAAAAAATCAATTAAAAAACACCAATGCCAACCAATACTATCGGTGGTACTTTCGATATCATCGGTTGACTTTCTCCACTTTCGACATCGTTCTTTCCCTCCTATCAGTGAAATTTCAGATGAAGCGGTTGTTCGTAAAGAATTATCATCATTTGTAGGATTGATTGCACCAAAGTGCGCTGAAACCTGAATATCATTTCCTAACTGAATTACTGACTAAAAATGCATATCATAATTTTTACTTACTAATATCTTTTTTTTTTATGAAAAAGTATTTTAAATTATTTAATTTCATTTTTCTAATATCAATAACTTGTATCGCAAATATCTTAAACCTGCTATTCATTTCTTCCTAATCATTAATACAAGTGGAAATAATGGCATTTTGAAATTAATTCATTAATTTGGAAATTAATTTATTTTAAAAATCATTCGTCGTGATTTTTCAAAACTCCCTCCTTAATGATTATGAACATTCATATTTTTATTATTTGAAATGTGTTAATGTTAATTATTTTGCTGATAGCATCTATTTTATGATGAAATAACCAATTTAAATATGAGTTTAAAAAAAAATAAAATTTAAAAATGAAAATAGTGAAAAAAAAAATTATCACCATTACAATATAATGTTCCATTACAACCCATTATAAATAATTCACTTGGTTGAAGTGGTATGGAACAGACGTAACACGTAAAGCATTCCAAATGAAAAATTGCATCATTAGCACGCATAACAATATCTTCATCACATAAAATGATAGCACATCGTTCACAACGTTTACCATATTTACTGTAAATAATTTAACAATTATTTTATTTTATTCTATTTAAAAAAATAATTATCTTACAAAATTACACGAGTAATTAATTATCTTTTAATAATTAATATGATATTTTAATAATATGAGTTAATATGACGGCTAAGAAATATTTCAACAAATGTAATTAATTTTATTTAAATGTTAACTTTTATTTATGTATAACAAAGTTATAAAAGTGTGTATATGTACATATTCTAAATAAGCGTTCATAATTAAATACTGAATAGTTTATACAACACATTTAAACTTTTTATTCAAATGCATTTCTTTTTTTTATAATAATGATAATGATATTTTTATGATAACGATATATGATGTATTGATAATAAGTAAATTTCTTACGCGAGATAGTCATCACGACAAAGTACCATTCCATTTTTATAATAGCATGTTGATGCATTATGTAATGAGCAATGACATAAACAGCACCGTAAACATTCATAGTGCCAACTTTGTTCATTCATTAACAGAAAATGTTGATCCGTAATTGGAATTAAACATGATACGCAACATCCTATTATATTTCATTCATTTATTACTGTTATTAATAAATTTTCAAAAGAAAAAAGGCACGTAATTACTTAAGGAAATTACGTTAGAATAGTTTAATCTTTTTTTTTTTTTTTTTGAAAATTAACTTTTTATCATTTTTGTACAAAAAGAAAAAAACGCGTAAAGAGAATGCATGAAAAATTACGTAGGAATAGTTTAATTTTTTTTTTTTGAAAAAATTTACTTTTATTATTATTGTACTAAAAAAAAAAAAAAAAAAAAAAAAAAAAAACACGTAAAGGAAATACGTGGAATACTGAATGAGAATAGTTTAATCGTTTTTTTGAAAAAATGGTTTTCACTTTTATTATTTTTGTACCAAAAGAAGTTTATTACCTGCTGTTGCAACTTGACATAATGCAGTTGAAGTTGACGGAGCATTTGAAATTGGTGATGATGAAACGGTTTGAGTATCATCATTTAATGATGACAAATATATCATCCGAAAATTAGTGTTATTTTAAAAAGTAAAAAGAAAAAAATTATACGGATAAAAGATGCAAATATAAAGATAACAATTTTTATAATAAAATTTTTTAAATAATATTAAATGGCGTTTTCTTACAATTAAAATTGCTAAATAATTACTATTAACCTAGCATCAATTTTATAATTATGTTTTATATCATATTAACATTTTCTAATTATGCATTTAAAGTTCAATCATACATCAACATTTAATAACTATACAGTAATTACTAATTTGAAAAATTTTTTGATTGTATTTTTAGAAATAACATGTAAAGTGGTTTTTATTTTTTTTTTCTGGAAATAATATTAAAACTTTTCATCATTTTTTTTGATTAAATTTTTAATAAAGAGTGAAAAAATTTTTAAATAGCAAATCTAAGGACTGAAGTTCAAATGTGACTTTAAAAAAAAATAAAATAAAAATTGGACAAATAAATTGAACTAGCATGAAAAGCATATCTATATCTATCTATCCATATATTTAGAATGTAAATACATAAAGAGCAGTGTGCGGCGGCTTTGCGAGGATTGAAAGAGGATTATAAAAGTAGTAGGAGTAACAGCAATTTTGCGCCAACAAATAATAATAGCTCAATGGTTTTCATTTCCACTTTTAACAAAACAGATATCATAATGTTCTATTATTACTGACTAATATTTTTGTTATATATTTATCTAAAATAAATATTGCAAAATTTTTTATTATTCTAACTATAATATTATTCTAATTTCACACGTTCTTCCAAAAAAAAATTTTTTTTAAATTTATTATTAATCATTTCAAAAAAATTCATTAATTTCATATTAAAAGACAAGACAAAATTGAAATGTAAAATAAATTAAATAATTTTATGTTAGAATAGAAATGAAAAAATGCTTGTTTTAGGAAGATTTGATGAAAAAAAAAAAAAAAAAAAATTATTATTGAGGGATGAATATGAAATAATAGGAAGGAGCTATAAATGGTAAAAGATCAGTTAAACTGTCAAGAAGGACACTTGAAAAAGGAAAATGATGTGCATTGCAGATTGTTCTAATGATGATCATAATGATCATAATGACCGGAACGGATTACAATTTGACACCAACCGCTAGGATAGCAGGTGAAAAGATGCTAACTGTAGAAAATTCAAAAAGTCATCTGAATTATTTTTGGATATTATTATTATTAAAAAGTGCTGGATTGCTTCTGATCTATTAATGCAACGATTTATGCTGAATTTTAGAAGTGATTTCTATCCTGGCTAAGTTAACCTTAAGCAATAGAATAACCTTCATTACATTTTGACAAATATACAATCAAACTCGTCGCCCAGAATTATTTTTGATGCAAGTAGCTCAACCATTGATTGATTTAATTTAAAAATTTTAAGATATATAATAATTCATGCTTCAATTCATTCCTCGTCGCATAAGTCAATAAATTAATAATTTTATTTAAAAATAGTATCAATGAAATAATGCAATACTAATCAATCATTTATGTAAATCATATATTGTTGCATTGATTTATATGCATAGGTATAAATAATAAAAGTTTTGATTAATTAATTGGAAATCACTGATAGAATATTAACAACGAATAAGACTGCAGAAAAATCCACATTGGCATATAAAAGCATTTATGTACAGATACAGATGAAATGAAACTGTTTAAATAATATGATATGATATTTGTTGTTTGATGATTAAATGAATCACTTTATCAATCTTTAATTATTTAATTCCATAAAATTTGTCTCTCGTATCTTGCGACCTAAATTTTAAATTTAGTAAAGAAAAAAAAGATTCTTCTTTTTCACTACATTACTGTAAAATAATTCATTCTTTTTGATACTAATTCTCGAGAAAATGATAACATCTGGCAAAGAGACATAAAATAATCACTAATAGACCTTTATTTTTCAACACATTGGTAAATTAAATAGCATCATAAAAATTCGTTTACACTCCTTATTGATATACCAGATAATTCAGCATACAGTTTATGACACTGTAAACAATCAATGTTAGAAAGCATTAAGCATTATCAATATGTTGTTAATTAAGTAAATTTTTTAAGTAACTATGCTGACAAATGTCTTATTTTGACTATAATAAATGAACTTTAATCTCATACTGATCTAATCACTAATCATTTTTGATTAAGGCTTTTAAATCACCAGTCAAGTGTTTCAGATAAATTTTGGAAAAATTCACTTGAAAAACAGGATTACTTGAAAAACAAGCAGAAATTATTTAAAAACAAAACATAAATTATTTATTACGAAAAATATTTATATAAAACAGGATTACTTGAAAAACAAAACAGAAAATAGTTATTACGAACTTGTAGAATAATCATTAATTATTGTCTTATATATAATTATTAGCTCATAAACTTCACGATTTTTTTTTTTTTTTTTTTTTTTGAACAGTTTTATAATACAATATAAAGAAATATTTACTGTTTCAAAATGAAATGTCGACAAAATTATAAATTTCATGCGAGAACTACAGTATCCGAAAGCGGTAAATGTGCAAAATCAAACAAATATTGAGGAAGAATGGAAAATTTGCACTTATAATTATGTTCAAAAAGTAATGGAAAAGGGGTTGTCGAGTACAGCAGGGGTCATAGAGGTGAGATGATGATGATGATGAGATGACCTCATGGCAGGGGTCCATTATACTGCTTTTACCTATACTTCATCTTTTCACTTAGTTATGATTTTCATCAATTCTATCTTTCACCTTTTAATAGAGTAAAAGAAAACAATTATAGTGTGAAAATAAGTTAAAATCCGGATGAAATTAAACTAAATTGGCAAAAGTTATAGTGCTAACAAAAATTGGAAACAAAATAATTTAACAAACATATATTAATAGATTAATATGTTAATTAATAGATTAATATGAATTAATTCTTCTTATTTATTAAATAAATATCTCATCCTAATCCATTCTATCAGTAATGCTGTCATTATATTATCCATACGAACTATGATGAAGTAATTTAAATAGATATTTTAGTAAAAAGAAGTTGATTGAAAAAAAAAGTTAAACAAAAATTGTGAAATAAAATTGCAGTATTTAAGGAAAAAGTATAATGTATCGAAAATTATAATAGGAATAAAATGTATATATATGGATACCGTATACTTTAAAGGAAAAAGGAAACCTATCATACAGCATTTAGTTTAGTTAGTTTATCCGATAAAATGAGTGGCATTGCGGTATAAGTTGCTAGGCATAGGCTCATTTGCATCAAATGAGCCTATGCATATTGTCCTCCTAGCTGACTAGCCCAGCTGGTTGAAGGAAAACGCAAAAAGATTAATTATATGAGGGATACTAAATGAAATGTGTATGGATAAGCTGATGACTACCGGATACCTTGTTATTAATATAAAATGCCGCATAAAATATTGTATCAAATCAACAGATACTATATTCATTAATGATCATTGTTTATACCTGTTACAGGTATTGTTTGAATTATCTGTAGTTTTGATCATTCATTTTTATTGCTAGTTTTTGATGAATTGTGTATGAAATTTCAGTCCTGTCTTTAATTTTTTTTTTTTTTTTTTTTGGAATAGTAGCATTTATTGAGCGTTAAAATAAAATCTATATGTAACTTCTCCAACTATTTTTCATTTTATTAGTGAACAATGAAAGAGAGGGGAGATGAAGAGAGAGAGAAAAAAAAAGGAGAACATTACATCTGCTTTTTTGCTTACACAATAATAATTAAGTGGAAAAGGTGAGGAGCGAAATGTTATATATTTTATTATGATTGCATCCATTTTTTTGCTTTTGCATTTATTGCTACAGTAATAATCTCAGAGTAGAAATTGCGGAATGATCTAACTACCGCATTTTTACATATTTTTAAGTTAACATAGTAGCATTGAAATTTTTAAAAGCGTGAAATATATTATATTATGGTGTTTTTTTTTTTGCTTTATTGGTGCAAATATAAAGTTCAAATGGCCAAAAAGGAAAAGAAATTTCATAGAGCAATGATGGAAAATGAAATGTATTTAACATCAATGAATCATATATAAATTCAAATTTTCTTCTTAATTATGTAATTTTAAATTAATATTAGCGTTCATTTTCACTAATAAATATCAGTTGAATGTATTGTATGATACATTAAGTAATGACCATTTTCATAATTTTGTTTGTGTTAACATCCTGTTCCAATACAAACAAAATATTCTACATCATTATTTCGTTTAAAATAGTAATTAAATTTTTTTTAAAAAAATAAGACTGTACTGCATGCATTAGAATTAGGAAGTGATTAATTCTTATAGTATTATTGAAAATATATAAATTGTAAATGCAATGATAATATGAGTACAAAGCTGGCGTTTTTTTTTATCAATATAATATTGTTTTATGAAAATTTGTTAGCTCATATTTTTTTGTCTGCGCCAAATACTTCACCGCCTACACCAGCAAGGGTCTGTAAAATGGAATGGAAATATGAAAAGTAGAAATGATATATGATGATATTTCTTTTTGTCTCATTTCCTTTATTGTAAAATAATTTGAGTTTAAATAAGTGAAAAAGGTTGATCGAAAGTGACTAATAATGTCATTTACCTTTTTCATAAAGAGATTAGTGTTAAAAGGTAAGTTTTTTTGTTTTTTGCTTTTTTGTCTTTCTTTTAAAATGAGACTATTATTTAAAGATTGTTATACTTGATAATTAGGATCATATGTGCCGGCTTTAATATCTTTATTTTCTGGAGCTTGTGGTCCACCACCACCTCCACCACCAGCTTCCTTCTTATCTTGCCCGAATACTTCACCGCCAACACCAGCTAGTGTTTGATAATTGGGATCAAAAGTTCCTGCTTTAGCATCTTTATTATCAGGTGCTTTTGGTCCAATAGCGCCACCGCGACCGCCACCTTCTTGTTTTTTATCTGTACCAAATACTTCACCACCAACTCCGGCTAAAGTCTGAAATATGAT